TCAGATAGCTGGGAGCTCCTAATATTTTACTATCCATATCCCAAACACAAAAAGGATCACTGAAGAAGCCACTCCAGAAAAATGAAAAAGAAAGATATAAAAAGAAAAATTTTAAAAAGAGAAGGGAAGCGAGGACACATGGAAAAACCAGAGGGAGAGGGGTGCAAGACACGAGGAGATGCGCCAAAGGGTGGGTCCTCTCGAGCCTGCTCCCCCATGCCGCTGTGAGCACAGGTATGTGTTGATAACACCATCAAGGCCACTGTCACAAGGCCTGAATGTTGGAATGACCTCCTGGCACAGCAAATAAGCCAAGAGTTGTAGAGGAGAATCAAACCACCTGAGCCCGACTGCCAATTCGCTGCCGAGGACTGGAGAGGGTGGCGCCGAGCTGGGCCCCGCTCACCGGGAAGCTCCATGCTGCCTCACAGGCCCTTCTGGAGCTGGATTTCTTTTCACTATATGTTGGTATTCAGAAACCAGCTTTAATTTATCAAAGCACACATGCATTTGTGAAATAAGTGAATGCTTTTCACTGAGTTGCCCAGGCTGGACTCAAACTTGTGATCCTCCTGCCTCAGCCTCCTAGAGTGCTGGGAGTACAGGTGTGCTCCACCATGCCCGGCTTCTTTCTTACTTCAAGTGTCTTTTGCAGTGTGCAGATAGTGGACACTAAAGCAGCCATGTGCAGGGCAGCAGCAGAGGCCAGGAGGACACCAATGTGTGTCCTACACAGACATGAGGGGCTCTGCTAAGTTAAGCTACATGCCATAACTCCCACGTCAGCCAAACACAGCAAACCAGCGGATACAGTGGAATGCAAAGACCAATGGGAGTGATACTCCCATATGGCAGTGTTGGAGCACTGCTCCCCAGCAAAGCCAGCGGAAATGACCCAGTAAAATCAACCGTTTAGTCTCTAGAAATGATCCTAAGGAGAACAGCAAATGAAGAAATAGTTACCCCAAAACCTCCTGAAATTCATGCCTCTCCCAGCTCCCAGGGGCAGGAGGGCAGGTGGGCAGGTCACAGCGTTTCCCACTCTGACCCAGCTACCCTGAGAGCTAGGGGCCGCCTCTTCTCCCCACCCCCAGCCTATGGGATGGAACTTATCAACCCTGGCCACGGTGTCCCTGAGAACACAGGGCCTGAGGGTGCTTGGCCTGGCTCCTGGGCCAGGTGCTTCGCACTGAGAGGCAGGTGGAAATGATGTTGCAGGACTGCCCTTCTCCCTCACAGGCTTCACACACACTCTGTTCCTGTGGAGGAACAGGGCATCTACTCAGGGAAAGAAACAGCCTGAGACCAGAGCACCAGGTCCCCAGAGAAGCGACCCTGTTTGTAACAAAGTATGGAGAAGCTCTATCCCGACTGGGACAGCCCCTCGGAGGAGCCTGGCAGGTGCCCTGGTGATGCAGAAGAACTGCAGGCTGACCTGTCAGCCAGACACAGGCTGGAGAGAAGTTGGACAGAACCTCTGGGGATCAGGGAATCTTCAAACACTAACCTCAGGAACTGTCCCTTCAAATGGCCTCAATTTCATGGGATTATTCTCCAAAGCAATTTATACCCCACGGCATCATGAAAGACAACAAAGTAATCAGCAATTATTGGAGCTTAACAGCTGGGGTGTGGTCAGAGAAAGAGTCAAACAGAACTGGGCCAAGGCCACTGCTATCCCTAGGACTTGTCGGGCTTGGGCTGAGGAACAGCATCAAAGCTGTCCAGGCTCTAAGCAGGTGAGCAAGAAGCATCAGCAGCGAGCCCTGGCAGTCAACAAGGTTCTACAACATATGATATAAAATATCAGTGTGTAGCTAAAACAGGAGACACGCAAAGAAATGGGAAAGCATGACCCACACTGTGGAGGTGGACACTTCCTGAAGAGTGTCCAGATGCCACATCTCAGACAGACTCAAAAGAGCCATTATAAATACACTGAAAGGAAAGGAAAGCATGATAAAAGGACGATATAACAGTGTTGTTCAAACAGAGGGTATCAACAAAGAGAAGAAGGGCCGGGGATTTAGCTAAGTGGTTCCACCACCTGCCTCGCAAGTGCAAGGTCCCAAGTTCAATCCCCGGTACCAAAAAAGATAAAACCAAAGAGAAGAAGAGCCACATAAAAACTCTCCAGCAGAAAAGCACAGTAATGAAAATTAAAATTCCACTAGAGGGATCCAAAAGTAAACTGGCAGGAGAAAAAATTAGCAAACCTAGAAATAGATGGAAAAAGATTATGCAACTGGAAAAAGAATGAATAAAAATGAATAGCACCTCAGAGAATGTAGAACAGCATTAAATGCACCAACATAGACATGAGTACCAAAAGGAAAGGTGAGAGGGCCAGGGATTTAGCTCAGTGGTTCCACCACCTACCTGCCTTGCAAGCTCACGGTCCCGAGTTTGATCCCCAGTACCAAAAAACAAAAATTTTAAAAAAAAAGGAAAGGCAAGAAGTAAGCAGAAAAACAGCTGAAAACTTTCCAAGTTACTTGAATGACATTAATCTACATATCTGGGAAGCTAGAAAAAATCCAAGGAAGATAAATACAAAAGATTCATCAGGGCTGGGATGTAGCTCAGTGGCACTGTGCCTGCCTGGCAAGCACAAGGTCTTGAGTTAGATCCCAGGGCCGGGGCGGGGGGGATTCATCACTAGACACATTACAGTAAAAATGCCAAAAGACAAAGACAAGGAAAACATCTTGATAGCAACAAGAAAAGGTGACTTGTCTCTTACAAGGGATCCTCAGGAAGACTAACATCTGTCTCCTCATTCCATCAGGAGGAAGCAGGAGGCCAGAGTCCCAAATCCCATATTCACAGCACTAGAAAACACTATCACCCAGGAATCCCAGATCTAGCACAGCCACCCTCCAAAAATAAAGGAGAAATCAAGACATACCCAGGTAAATAAAAGCTGAATTTGTTGATACCAGATATCATCTTCAAAGAAATACTAAAATTCTTTAGTCTAAAAAGATTGACAGGACTGCAGGTCCACACAAAAATCAAACTTGTACAGGACTGTTCATACAGGCACCATGACAGCCAAAAAATGCAACAACTCAAATGTCCACAACTGATGAAGAGATAAACAAAATACAGTGTCCATACAACTATTATTTTCCCACAGAAAGGACTAAGTACTGACACATGCTACAACACAGATGAACCCTAATGACACTGTGCTTAATGAAAGAAGACAATTACAAAAAAACACTTGTTATGACTACATTAATATGATATGCTAAGAACAGGCAAATCCATAGACAAAGAGCACATTAGTGGTTATCTGCCTGGAGGAACCCTGAGTATAACCCACGTGCTATAAGAGAATGCCATACACAGAGTGTCATATAAACAGAACTTTCTCACAGTTCTAAAAGCTGGAGGCCAAGGACCAAGGTGCTAGCCAACTGAGTGTCTGGCAGGACCTTGTCCCTTGCCCCAGCACAAGAGAAGAGGTCAAGTTTTCTCTGGGCTTCCTTGTGAGACACTAAGCCCATCTGGGAGGCTCTGCCCTTGTGACCTCATCAGCTCTCAAGGGCCACTCCTCCTAACGCCAGGATATGAGAGTGAGGTTTGAACACAGGAGATGGGGAGTAGACAGAAACATTCAGACCACTGAAATAAATCCTTGCCAGAGAATTAGAAATTCAGGTCCAGCAGGTTCTCATTCAGTACTAGACCCAAGGCAGGAAGATAGAATGTGGCCAAAACTGGCTGGGAAAGGGGGTGTGGCAAGATCCTGGCATTATAGACAGCTTAAATTAGGTAGAAATATTATGGGCAGTCAGAGGGCTGGGCCCTTGAGAGTCAGTGCAAGAGATGAAAACACATTACAGCTGTGGCTGGAGGCGCACCTGTTGGAGGCCAGGCCTCAAGGTAAAGACAAAATGACCAGGCCTATATGCCTCCCCAAGAGGTAAGTGGTAACACCTGGTCTAATGAAGCCCAGATAGACATCAGTCACCTCTGTAGGTGACCAAGACCCTTGGACCCATCACCTTCCTGAAAAGTTCTTTGTTCTTTCCATGCACACTTAACTCCATGACTTGCTCCCCCACTGGATCACTATTACCTAAGTGATTATACTTGTAAGCTTATTGGTTGATCATAGCTTTAATCCATGTTGTACCCACATGTTATGCTTCATAAAACTTCCCCTGAAAAGTGGGGTCCTTGGCCACCTGTTCGGGACCACTCCTGCCTCTCAGGAGCTAAAATCTGTCCTCTTTATAAATATTTCCTACCCTTAACCTCCACTGCTCCTTAGAATTCATTCTTCAATTTTGGGGAACATGAGCTCGGCGTATCTGACATCTATTAGGTTGAGAGTTATAATTATTTTCCCTATTATCATTTGGAGGTCTTATATCATTCCTGTATCATCGGACAAATGCACAGAACAATTCTCAGAACCCTGCATGTGGACTTCTCTGGAGAACTTGAGCAGGTTCTTGATAGTGTGGCCTGGACACACTGCCAGTGTAAGAAACATTAAAAAGCAACAGTTAGGGCTGGGGATTTAGCTCAGTGGTTTTGCCACCTGCTGTGCAAGCGCAAGGACCCTAGTTCATTCCCCAGTACCAAAAAAAAAAGCGACAGTTGCCATTAACTACTCACTGCTCACTGTAGTACCTCTTCACGACAGCCCACCTTATTTTTATTTTTCCCACCCTTTTTACTGAGCCCAAACTTGCTCTGCAGAGCCCATTTTTCCCTTAGCCTTCTAGGTTTTTCCCCTACCTTTAATAAACGTAAAACTTCGCCACTGTTTACACTTGTTTCATTCAATTCTTTGCCTGGGGCAGAAAGGACCTAGCTATCACCTCTAAAATCACCTCTAAAAAGACACACCAGCACCCCAGGGCCAGTGACCCAATGATGACCAGGATTTTTTGCTAGTATCTGAACAATGTGAAACTATTTAAGTTTGGAAGTTGACAAGAAACCATGAATTTCAGTTTAATAAACTAAACATGTTTACTCACCTCCTCGGGGAGAAGGCGAATCATGACCTCCAATGACTACAGGGATGCCGGCACCTTCTAGCTTTTCTTTCCATCTTCCAATGATGCTCATAGACTTGTCCTGGAAGAGCAAGAGCAGCAGGCCAAGAAACCTCCTCAGAACAGTCATAATGTGACTTGTACAGGGCTAATTTACCCCACTGGAAGTTCATAAATACCTTACTGGCATCATCAAAAACAGAGAGCTCCATGGAGCCTTCAAAGTCCTGCTGCAAAACAGACTTCAAACACTCATCCAACCACTCTTCCGCATTGTGGACTGGGAGGATAATGGACTGGAATTCAAAGAAGCAGGTTAACAGACAGAAGAGGGAAAGCTAAATTCCCACACACTGCTCGAATGTACCTTCCCTCTGCCATCCACACAATGCTCATTAGCACAGGGCAAGGCCTGACCTACAGAAAACCCAGAATAAGGCTTCCAGGAAAGGTCATGCCCTTCTCCTAGCTCATAACATTCTTTGCTCCTTAAGATTTATTACGTTTTAATTTCCCTGAACTGTCAGATGCTTTTGAAAAGGGGGGGGGGCAAGGCACGGAGATGCTCCCTGATTCAATGATAAATTCACGTTTTTAATCACTGGTCAGAAACATCACATCCTGGTTAAGCAGGTACCTATCTGTGTATTTTCCAACCCAGCCCTGAAAATAGCCACTTGGGCCTTTGCTAGGTGGGGCAAGCATTTCAGCAAAGTTGAGTTTAGAGAAACTGCAAGGAAGAACCCCTTCAATACTCACATGCAGTCTTCAAAAAAGAGCCAGGCATCGTAAGCTGGGCATTACAAGGGAAGTGAGGAGTCCGGGTCTATTCTGTTCTAAACTTCCCTTAGGGCTGGTTGGCACTAGCACCGTTTTTCCTCAGGGAGTCTCAAAAAGAAAAAAAAACTTCTAAAGCGGTATTGAGTAAAACCACAGGGACTTGCACACCTGTGACCGTAGCAGTTAGGAAAGTGGAGACGAAAGACTGCAAGTTTGACTTGTTTTGGGCAACCTAGCAAGAGCCTGTCTCTAAATAGTGCTAGGAATATAGCTCAGTGGTAGAGCACCTAAACCCCAGTACCATCAAAAAAAAAAAAAAAAAAAGTTTTAAAAAAGTGAAACGTTACTACCAATACAGTCATTATAATTGCCTTAGTTTTTAAAATTATCACACCATGGACTACGAACAGCCATAAGAGCTAGTGTGTCGTCACCCTGCTTATGTCCATAAAAGCTAATCTATTTATATTAACTTTAGATTTCCTTTTTAAAGGAAATCTACAACACCACATATAACGTGGGATTCTGTCAGGGCAGGACCTCCTTTCCACTCATCTCGGCCCCGATTCCACTAAGGCTGGCGAGGCCCACACGCGCCTGCCGGCGGGCGCCCCAAGCCTGACCCCGCGCGGGGCGGCGGGAGGCCCACGGAGCACGCTGCTCCGGGCAGGGCGCCCCCGGGAGGGCAGCGCGGCCCGACTGGCGCGGAGGGAGGTCAGGGCGAGGGCGAGGGCGAGGGCGAGGGCGAGGGCGGGGGCGGGGGCGGGCCCACGGCCCACGGCCCACACCTACCACGAAGGCCGGCGGGCCGGGAGCCCTGGAGCTCCCGGGGCGCTGCATGACCGCGCTTCCCCGACCCACCTGCGCGGACGGCGCGTGCGCAGGGGAGGGAGGCGGGGCCGAGAGCAGGCCGTGTCCGATTGGTGCAGCCGCACGTCGATCTCGCGGGGCAGGCGGCGGAGGAGCCGCTGCGTCCCGGTCTCCGGCGTTGCTACCCAGGTTAGGTGCGGTCGTGCTTCGGTGCGGGAGCTGGAGGCCTGAAATCCAAACCGATCACCTCTCACCTGCGCCCTGTTGCAGGCGCACGAGCGGGGCGGCGTAGGGAGGGAGGGACGGGCGGAGGCCCACGCGTGTCCCCGCGCAGGGCCGACTACGGGTGCCTGCGCTGCAGGGACGGACCGCGGCCGGGAGGCCAGAGCCGCACACCCGAGATCCCCCGAAGCGGAGCGTTAACGCGATGATCCACGCACGTCCTTTAGAACGGACGGCATCCTTTCAGGCTGACTCCCGTGGCTGCGGTTTCTTGGACGGTCATCGTGAAATATGCGAAGAAGTGTACTTGAGGGCCTTCCACATTCTCCTTGACCGGCTGATGACCATGGGTGCATCTGGTGGCCTTTGCTCCTCTTTTGTGCCGCCCCCAAATGTCCTTAGAGAGACCACACTTGAACCTGGTGGCGCACGCCTGTAATCCCAGCACTCGGGAGGCTGAGGCAGGAGAATTGCTATAGGAACCTGCCTACGAGATTGAACCTGACCAAGAGGTGATGAGAATGAAAAAGAGACAGAACCAGGTTAAATTCTGGAGGGCCAGAGGTACTTGTCTCCCTTTGACAAAGAGCCCCAAGTGAGTGGGGCACCTTGGCTTTATAGGACTCATCTGCCTCCCTCCCTCCGAGGTACTTGTCCCAGTAAACAACAGAATCTACTTTCCCCTGCAATGTGTCAGCTTGCCTGCCCTCTTTTTCCTCAGTGCTCATCAAGGAGGCCAGTTAGGCCTCATTCTTCCCAGCTGGTCTCGCGCAGATTGCCCTCTTCGAGGCCAGGCTGAACTACTTAGTGGGACTCTACCTGGATACATAAATAATCTCACTTAAGAACAACGGGGGGGGGGGGGGGGACTGCAGTGCTTATGGGTTAAAACACCTTCCCTACAGGGAAAACGGCCTGTCTTGTCAAGGAAACAAGCTACCCCCATCCCTAGTAACTCCAGAAACCTGAGGCCCTTATCCCACCAATTAGCCTGAGCTAAAGAAAAACGGGTGCTCTGCCCAGTCCTGCAGGTGGGGTCCGGGCACAGCCACACCTTTCCTGCCCTTGGGGGCCAGGACCCCTTAGGAGCAGTGTGATTAGAAGCTCTCCAGGTGGCTGAGGGCTCACTGAGGACCTCACACTGAGGAGGTGGATGGTGACAGGACCACGGTGACCGGGCTGTGCCCCCTCTTGCAGACGTTAACCACACAGGGTTACACTGCTCAGAGCTACTGAGCAGGTCCTGGTATGCAAGTCTGTAGGCATCAATTCTGCAGCAAATCTGTGTGTGTGTGTGCGCGGTTCAGAGAATAGAACCTGGAACCCAGGGCCTCACACATGCTAGGAAAGTGCTCTCTCTACCACTGAGTACCTCCTCAGCCCTAAATCCTGCTCTTTAAAAGACTAAGGTTAAATGCAAAGCAAACATTCTATACACAGTATTTTCTGTTGTAACTAAGCAAACGTTTTAAATCTCTGTTTAAGCACCACTTCAGATGTGATGGTTTCTACTGAAATTGCATCTTATTTTCAAAGCCTGTTCTACAATTGGAAAGGCTTAGGCCAGATGAGTAAATATGTAACCAAATTTTCAGACTGACAAATGCAGTCTGAGATTTGTTTCCAGAGACCTGATGGTTTCTTGGAGCTGGTATATTAGGAATAGTTTCCTTTTGAATGATTTTGCTGAAAGAGCTGCAGACGGCTTCTGCCTCCCAGTAGCACACTGTTCAAACTGGGCTCGAGTATGTGTCTTACTTCCTGTCCATCTCCTGCAAGTTTGCTTTCCACTACCTTCCAACACACATTTAATTGGGAATCTCCTTTTTGCAAACATTCAGATCACAGAAACAAGAGGCACTGAAGAAATGCAAGGTGGTTTGGGCACTGTTCTAAAATCAAGAAAGGTGGGGCCTGAGATTCCTGTCACAGTAAAGTCTCAGCAAGAGGGACTGGGCTACAGGCCTCACCCTGACCCTGGCAAGGGACAGGAAGGGGAACACAGGATGTTGGCACTTGCTGGATTGAGATTGTGTGGTTTTATTTTTATTTTTTTTGGTACTGGGGATCGAACTCGGGACCTTGCACTTGCTGGGCAGGCACTGGAACCACTGAGCTAAATCCCCAGCCCTAGATTGTGTGGTTTTAAATCAAAGGGAAGGGTAAGGAGGTGGTGGTGAAGGATGAGCAAAGTCACATGGGCATCCAAAGGGGAAGTAACAAGACTCTCCCCAGCTTTGGGCTCACTGCACAGGTAGTCTCTTTATTTTTTCATCGTTATTGGTGAATAATGGCTGTGTTCAGAGGACCCAGTGCTGATTCCCTGGAGCTTGCAGAGGGGCAGCCCAGCTGCTGTGGTCATGTCCTGTCCTCCAAACCCGTATCTTGGAGCCTAACCCCAAGGGCGTGGTGCTAGGAGGTGGGTTTTTCAGGAGATGGCTGGGTTGCAGGGGACACAGGATCAGTGCCTTATACAAGAGGCTTCTGGGAGTCCTTTTGCATTTTCTGCCGCCAGAGAACACACAGAAAGTACCTGTGAGGAAGGGCCTCTCCGCAGACATGGAGGCTGCTGGGGCCTTGCCCTTGGACTTTCAACCTGCCCAACTGTGAGAAATAAAAGTCTGTTGTGTGTGAATTATCCAGGATAAAGTATTTTGTTATAGCACCCTAACTGGACTACGACACCAGGGCTCCAAAGTGAAGAGCTACACAGCAGCCCCACCATGCTGGAGCCGGAAGTAAAGACTTGCTGCTGGTTTATACAAACAACACCCAAACACTTGCGTTACAGGAGTCACTGGGCCCAGGGTAAGAATCAGCTGTGTGCACCCTCAGCAAAGGCTGAGTTCAAGGACACTGACAGGTTCTCTTGACAGCCTGAGGCCCAAAGCTCCAGGTGTCCTTTCCCCATTTCTGGACAGAATGAACCTCAGCAGGACTGGCAAATGGGTGCTGCTTAGAGGTCAGGAGCATCTGGACCATAGGAGACTGTGTGTGGGGGCCAGAGCACCCCAGGAATAAACCAAGTCTCAAGGAAGCCCACCTCTGCTGGACAGTGCATTGGCATGGGGCTCCCTTCTACTCCCTTACTCTTTTAAAGGCTGGTTGTTCCTCAGCTGGATTTAATGTCTCATTCAAGGCCTGCAGCCCATACTGTTTAGAAATGTAATCTTTGAGACATGGTGTGGACATGGTCCCATGAAATCTGTCTTCAACAACACGTGTTTCTAGAATCTAGGCCTGTTGCGGAATTACAGTTGCTGTCATAGAACCTTGCATTGTGTTCCGGGGAACAATCCTGCATGGTATGTTCCTGACTCACTGGGTATGGTGACCCACAGCCACAGAGGGTCAGAGCGTCCATGAGGGTGAAATTCGGAGTGGCACCTCAGGAGAGCAGGGCCAGCTGGGATGTCCCTGCCTGCCTTCTCCCACAGTGTATTCCTTTTCCCTCAGAACACCCCCGAACCTCAGGCCATGGCTTTGGAGGTGACTCGCTCAGCCCCGAGAGCCCACCAGCCCTTCCATCTCTCAGCACAGCCATTGGTCATGGACGGCCCTGATCCCCTTTGGGTCATGACCTTGGAGGACTGTGGCCACCTCTGAGGTGTGGCTTTGGGAGAGGAGCCCCTTCTACAGGGAGCTCCTGGAAGCCACGGGCAGCTGTTTGAGGGTGTGAAGGGAGCTCCTGGGCTCGTGGGAAGATCCCAGGAAAGGGGCCTGGACTCGGGAAGTTGGGATGATGTTGTTCTGCACACACTCACGATTCGGTCCCATAACAGAGGTATGGGACAGCTCTGTGTGGCCCCATGGAGGAATCGGCCCTGCCCAGAACCTCACCCAGGGCAGCACTCATAACCAGTCTGCACGGCCAGGCATTCTGGAAGAAGCAGGAAGTCCCACTGACTAAGCATTTCCTAAATGCTAGGCACTTTTCAAATATTATCTCATTAAAGCCTAGCACAACATGATTGACCCAATCCCAGAGCCTGGACCCTGGCCCTGGCCCCACTGCAGGAAGGGATGAGGTTCCTGTCACAGGAAGCATTTAATTAACAGCAGCCAGACGTGCAGTATGGATTCCATGTGAGCATCAACCAACATGTAGGATGTTTGTCTTGGCCTGGATCCCCCAGCCCCAGTGCAGAAGCAGAGCCTGAGTCAGGAGTTTGCACATGGAGTGTTTCTGTTCCCTGGACACTGAGGCCATGAAGGAGAGGCGCCCAGCACCCATGGGCTCCACTGGGGTGTCCCCGTGAGGGCCTGGGCCCAGCCCAGGAGAATTGTCCACCTGACAGAGAGGGGAGGGGAGCCTTTGGTGTGTCTCTGTCTCTGTCTCTATATCTGTATATGTATCTGGGCAGCAACAACACAGGTATTCTAAGCCCTGGCCCTGCTAAGAGGCCACAGCTGCCTCTTGGCCTTCACTGTGGCTGCTGGGATGAGCTGGGGAGACTGCCTCAAGGTTGGGAGGAGGTAGGGAGAGACGTGGAACTGCAGCTTCCCACCTAGTGGACTTTCAGCAGGAGCCACTGTGGGGCACAATAGCCCCTGAAATTGTTCTGAAGTGATGACAGCCAGATGCGCATCGTCTGGTGTAGAGATGGGTGGGAGATGCCCTGGGAGCCACATGTGGGTGGGGCCAGCTTCCAGCTCTTTCGCTGAGCCCCACTGTTGGGCTGGCTTAGGCATCTGCCTATCCTAGGGAACAACAGGAGCAGCCAGTGTCCCATCTTCCTCCTGACACTATCAGGCCAGGCCGAACAGCCTCTGGCTCCGTGTCTGTCTTAGTCACTTTCCTCATCCCTGAGACAAAATACCCGACACCCACAGCTTAGGGGAAGTGGGGTTTATTTTAGCTCATGTTTCAGTCCATAGTCGCTGGCTCCAAGGCAGGATAGCATGGCAGAGGGGTGTGGTGCAGTGGAACTGCCCCTGGCATGACAGACAGGAAGCAGACAGCATGAAGGGAGGAGTTGGGAGGGAAATAGACCCTGCCAGGCCAAGACTCCACGGCCCTTCTCCAGCCAAGCTCCACCTCCCAAGAGCACATTTGGCTATAAATGGACAAGTGTCACACCCCATGATCCGATTACCTCCCTAAAGTCCCATCTGTTAGCACATGAGGTTTTGGGGGACATCTAGGTATAAACCAAAGCAGTGCCACGTCTTCTCCCTGACGCAAGCAGCCCAGGCTGAACAGCTTCCTGTGTTCGGAGTCTCATGTCCTCCTGACACGGACAGGAACATATGCCACACGGGTTACAGTCCAAAATCTCCTGTGCTCGTTAGCGCCAGGTGACGGATCTAACGTTGGGGACATACGCCCAAGGGTTTCAGCATTCCCCCGAGACCTGGAGGGGAGCGTGGTGCTGCCAGGGTGGTCTTGTGCTGGTGTGAGGTAGAGGCACCGGGTCCCACTTCTGCCAAGATTTCCCTGGGGCCCCTGCTGCAAAGTCACCAAAGGAAGAGCCTGAGTGCACCTCAGCTGGGCTAGGACCATGCCCGGGTGTGTTTACTGCCATGCACCTCGGTCCACAGCTGCCCCGGCCCCGGGAAGAGGCCGCCCGACTCTG